AGTGGACATGCAAGTTGTGCTGATGAGAAGATTAGGTATAGGGAGATTCAGTGACTTGCCCCAAGCCAGAAAATCTGTCACTTCTTAAATTACTGCAATAATTTTCAGTTGTCTTGGAAATGTATTATTTTCCTTTCCCTTGGGAATGCGTGTAGAAACATTACAACCTTATATCAGCTTTCCAGAGGTGAAATCACCGAGCACTTACACCTGGCTAAAGCTGATGCTATTCTCAATGCTCAGGGTGGTTTCCTTACTGCTTCTGTTTGTTTCTCTGTGAAATTCCTGCTGTGAATGCTTAAGTCCTTGTAATTATTGGGGTTTTTTTGTTAGTACCTGAGAGAAAGGACAATGAGCTGCTTTGATTTGAAAATCCATAACACAGCTGGAGCCAGGAGGCTCCACCCCCACTTCCACCCCCTACCACACAAGCCAAGTGCTGGACTGTGCCAGCTCAGCAATGTGCAAACAGCCTGGTGGCATAGTGGGGTAATGCTGTTTGAACAGTCTCTTCAGTCAAGGATTTTTCCAAAATAAATTGGATAGAAATTAATGGTTATGCATGTGAGTGTGACATAGCCTAGTGCAGCATGTTATGGCAGAAAATGAGGAAGGATTGTTTTCTCAGCAAATCTGGAATGGCGAGCCAGCAGGTGGTTGCAGAGTCAAAAGAGGACAAGATTCTCTTTTGCTTTTCAGTATGGATGGAGTTGGTAATGTTCTGGGAATGAGCTGTGGAAGAAGGGTAAAGGGATGCCCCTGCTGTTTTGTTTCATCTAAATGATGCTATTTAACACTGATTACCTACCTGAAGTCTCCCTCTCCACCTTTCCTTTTGCTCCATCACTTGTACCAGTCCTCTGGACCCACTGCCACTTTACTATGGAGCAGTCCTCTCTGCCTGGGTGGGCAGACAGCTGCCTCCTCCTGTGAAGCAAATGGAGTGTTTCATCCATCACACACTGTGCAAAATTTCGGCCTTCCTCAATTTTTATCACTCAGTGTCATGATTTCCTGCAGATTGTTTCATATAGCCAGATCTGTCTTTTTCTCTGACAGCACCTTCCATGCTCTGCTTTCTCAAAATCACCCATGAAGTTCACTCATTTTGAACAAAGCACTCTTAAAGGACTTGTGAGTTATTTTTTGGTGGAATGCTATCCCTGTGGAGGCTCAAAGCATGCATTTTCTGTGTCATTTCCTAGGGCATGCTTTGAGAAGACCACCTAGGTTGGGACCAGGAGAAAGCTCCTTCAGCAAAGTGTGAAGAAAAATGAGACCTCAATGACTCCATGTCTCCGGGAGGACTCCTGGTAAGGGAGGCTGAATTGCTGCCTTGAGTGTCACTCTCTTCAGCATGGAGTTGGTCTGTGCTGTCTGGAGTGAACCAGCAAGTAATAGCAAACACAGTACCACAGGCTTCATTTCTCACATAGGGTTTCCTTCATGCAGAATTACACTTTCCTCACTACATGCTCTTGTGTTAACACTTAAACTTGTGTGGGGCTCTCTTCCAGAAGGCTCTTGCCTTGCTGCCATCACATGATGGCTGGGATGAGTGTGGCAGTGGATCCTATTTTCCCCTAAGTCCTGACCAGACATCAGAAGCAAAGAACTAGAGACCACCACAGTGACGACTGTGTTGCCTGGGGCCCATGTTACTCTGCTAAGCCCCCTTTGGGGCAGAAGTCCCTAAAGCAGTGGTGTGCATTTCTCCAGAGGTGGCTGTCCCACCGATACCTTCATGGGACAAGGTGAGATGTTTCAAGCCCCCAAAATATTCTTCTTTCAGATAGGTGCCTTCTGAATGACCTCTGTTTGCAGAGGAACTCCAGCAAAATAGAAAGCCCAGTAAACCTCATTGAAGGGACCAAAACCATTATCAGAAGGTTATCAAAATGTTTTAATCTGGAGTCAACCGTCTGCTGTATAAAACAAACTAACATTTTGATAGAAGTGTTATTGTGAATGGAGGTTAAAATAATAAATACAGGATTACTTTTCTGTTGCAAAGGGGGGGTTTGGGTTGGTTTTTTTTTTTTACAATCTCAGAAGATTTTATGAGGAAGATTCCCTTCGAGCTGTTCAGCTCAGCTAAAAATGTAGGAATTTTGTTTATCTTGTGATATTTCATGGGAAATACTAGTCCTGATGCTTTACTCAGCCAGTGTGACATGACAGCCAGCCTCTATTTTCTTGCTGGTATGGCAGCAGTCACTTCAACGTGTAGAAAAATCTCCCCCCACATGACACCCTCATCCATGGTGTGACTTTCATTTCGAGAATGTAGTGAATCTTGTCACTTTGCCTGGAAGCAGTTCCCGGAAGAACAATATTGAACAGTGGTGTCCCAACAGTGACTCCAAAGGTAGCTATGGCTGCAGCAGCTTGGGCTGAAGCAGGTCAGCAGGTTGCCTGATCCCTGCAGGAACCAGGAGTCTGTAAGCTCAGGGCTGCCCTTCCACAGAGGACTGTGTCCTTGTCCCTCTCTGTCACTGACACACCAGAGCCCACTCCTAGCTCCACTACTGGAGGGGTCCTGCAAGGACAGAAGCAGAAATGGATGATGGAGAAAGAGGAAACAGCACCTTTCTCCACCTTTGGCATGTGCAGACTGTTGATGAACCATTAATAACTCTGCTACGGACACCAGGTGTAACAAGGAAGAGCTACTGAATAACCCAGTGTGTTTTAGCCGTTACATTGCTAACTCTCTAGATAATATTTTACTTCTGGTTTCAAGTACTTGCTGTCCTTGCAGGATGTTACACTGGAATAATCTGTTCTCTCCAGTGCAGAAAACATTCAGGGAACAAAGCATAGGAAATTAAGGGGAAGCAATTTAATAAAAATCCTTTCATTTTCAGTTCCCAGAAACTCTGAGCCCTCACACCAACCTGTGCTATATGTCACTGGCACATCAGACCCAAACCAGGAACTCCAGTGAGAAATAGGTTCTTGTGAAATGTGCAGGAAACAGCACTGGGTACTGAAGTCCTCAGCTCCCCTGTAAAGCTGATCCCAGAGGGGCAACAGCCATGAAATTTTCTTCTCCCTTTGCTGCCAACGTGCCTTGGCTCTGACCCGGGGAAACCTCTTCAACAGGAGTACAATTCAGGTCACGACTTGGCAAGCCCTTCACTGCATCAGGACTTTGGTTTCCAGGTTCACCCTGGGCAAAGATTAACCTCTCACGCATAGATGTGACACTCTCTGGTAATGAGACTGTTGTGCAAAAATAGGCAATATGGCATTTCCTCGAGCTCTTGGTTCCCATCAACCAGCAGGTCTTTCTCTGTGCTTTCCTCTTTCCCCTGATGAGTTCACCACCCTACGTTGGGGGTAAACTGTGAAGGAAACAATAGGTTCTGGACCAGTCTCCTGACAAAATCCATCTCATATCTCCCCAGCAATGCTGTCCCTATTGCAGGCAGTGGCACCCACCTTACTATATGAATAGACCCTACTGGCATCATCCACTATATTCCAACCCTCTCATACAGGGAGAGAGAGCGGAGGGTGCTGACAACCAGGGTGCACGAGATGGCCGACTAGTCAGGCAGAACACGTACAGGGGTTACAGACCATGATTTTTCAGGGGTCCTCCTCATCAAAGACAACCTAGAGAGAATGAAGAAGGTGAAGAGAACCAAGGGGATGAAACCTGAAGTCAGCAACCACCTCAACGTCGGTACCACCGTAACTTCAGCTGCCGATGCAGAAGCCCAGAGAACCCTATCCCACAGGATGGCAAAGAGACGAAGACAGCTGAACCACCAGCTGAGAACACGTCTGCTCCTGAGGCTGAGCAGGATGCTGGCCACGGAAGTTGGAATCTGCTAAGGAGTGTGTAACAACTCCCCTGCCGAATCAACCAGCCCTGGAAATGGATGGTGCTGGAGCGTCAGGCCTGCACCCGGCTGTCCCCGGCAGTGTGAAGCCCGGGAGGTCTGGGCCGCCATGCGTAGGAGGGCCCCTGCAGTGCGCCTCCAAGTCTGGGGTGTGGGCCCAGGTGGAGCCGCCGCAGGTGCAGATCTTGGTGGTACTAGCAAATATTGAAAGGAGAGCTTTGAAGGCCAAAGTGGAGCAGAGTTCCGTGTGAACAGCAGTTGAGTGTGGGTCAGGCAGTCCGCCATGGGACGAGTCAGTCCCAGCCCCTGCCTCTTGGAGGCCCCTTGATGCTCTTAGCTGAGTGTCCCAAGGGGCCTGAAGCGTCTGCTTAGAGAAAATTAGAGTGTTCAAAGCAGGCCAGCCGCCGGCACAGTGCAGGTAGGAATAATGGAGTAGGACTCCGGTTCTATTTTGTTGGTTTTCAGAAATGGGCCCATGATTAAGGGGCATGGCTGGGGGCATTTGTATTGTGCTGCTAGAGGCATCACCCCATCAGGGCAAAACACTGGAGTGTGGTCAGCAGCAATTGTGATTCCTGCTCTGCCACTGAAGTCAGAAAGGAGATGACATTGGAAAGGGGATTGAAAAACTGAGCAGAAAGTGAAGAAGCAGAGCTGCTGCAGGGGCTGGGTAAACTATGCTGTTGTCTGAAATAGAAGCAAATACTCTGGATGTGGTTGGATTAATTTCTGGGCTTCACCACAGGTATACATAATGAGCAGGTAATAATCTGTGAGGATCTGGGTAGAGGTTTGGGGTCAGCTTCATGGGTTAGGAAAGTCAAGAAAAACAGCTTAGGAAAGGCACAGGGAATTTTCATTGATGGAAAGGGTGTCATGAAATTCTCTGTGGTGCAGGGCAAGAGTGTCCTGTGGCAAACAAGTGTGCAAAGCTGTCTTCTGGAGCTAATAAGTACAGTGGGGAATGGCCCCTTCACAGCCAGTATTACCCTGCCAGTCACCACCCCTCGTGACTTTCCAAGCAGAAGGGCACTGGGAACAGCAGCTTTGGCACAGCATTTCAGGGCTTCATGGGATTACTTATTCACTGTGTTCCTGGATCAGTTCCAGACTAGCCGGCTCTGCCTCCAGTGTACAGATTCATCAAGTATCCACAAGGCTCACAATCCCCAGAGGCAAGAGAAGACTGTAGGAAGGTCATTCATATTGCAAATCACACTGTCTCCACAGGACCTGCAGGGCTCTAGGAAGACAGAACTCCTTCCTTCTACCTCCCTGACACTACTTCAGGGTGATTAAGGCAGCAGACGCACTCTGGATGGATTTCATTGCTGGGGCCATTGGAGGTAAATACATAAATTAGTGGTTGTTGATGAGAGCAGATTGCTGTGTTTGCCTCTTGTTCAGCTAAAGGACAAAGTCTCAATAGCAGAGCTGAGAGTCTTTCAATGGGGGCTGCTTGCTAACAGTGTATTCTTCCTTATTAAAGGGAAAATGTCATCGGAGCAGGTTCACAGAACTGCTGGAGAGGCAGTGCCGCAGCTTGGTCATCTGAGGTCACTGCTTGCGATCTCCTCTGATCTGATTGCAGCGGGACACGGTAGAACTCTGATAGGAAGAGACAGACTGTATTACCTTGTGTGCTGATACAAACCAGCTCATACTGCCCGGACAGCAAACCCTCATGTGCCTGGTGTCTGGGGGTCCCAGCAACCTGCTGGAATCGTGGCTCTGGGAGGCTGAGGATGTGATTTGTGAGACAGGAGGGGAGGAAGCATGGCGTTGTGGCAGTGAAGAATGTCTGAATGAACGGCCTTTGCATTGTCTGAGGTTAAGATGTATTTGCAGTTGTGAGGGTGATAGCGCAGGCGTGCTACAGCAGGCTCTGATCTGGGAGAAAGTAGGTTAGCTGTATACAAAAAAAGTAACAGGAGAGAAGTGTGATTAAATTTGAGACATTTTTAGATCATGTACTGCTCAAACCCAGCTTTGTTTTAAACAACAAAGTATACCCATCAGTCTCATTTCTTTGCTGAAATCTTATAAGATTTAGTGGAGTATCCAAGATAATATATACCAATAAATAGCAAGAGAAAAGCCTTGGGGTCACCACTGACAGAAAGGCCAGGTAAATCTGCCAGGTGGCTGAGATATCCAGCCCAAGCCTGCACATCAGATCTCACTTTGAGATTTGCTGAAATTTGGCATTTTCCCTTACCAGGAGCCACTGGTACCTGTGGCACCCTGTGGCACCACTGCAGATGTGCTTGTCCTGGGGAGGGCCATGATGAGTTTTACCCTGCACCTTTTAATTGCTCATCATGCAAACTGTGCAAGTGGGGTGAGGTTTGGCATCTCAGCAGCATCTGTCTGGACCAGGAGGTGCCTGTTTCTCACAGTGTTGGTCTTCCTGGGGTGTTGAGAGACCCTGCTTGGAAAAGACCCTTTATGGGAGAGGAGGGTAAAACCAACCCTCCATGACAGCTCGTTTTTCTCCTCCTCTTTCTCTCCTGTAGAGAAGGGAGCCCTGTGCTGAGGCTGGCAATGGGATGTCCATCCCATTGGATTCACCAAACCTCCTCTAAGACTTCATGTTCGTGATAGGGCAGAGATGATTGCATTTGTTGCTTGGACTACTTTGCTGTTTTGGCACAGTTTGAGATAGGCCACTTAAGGACAAACTTCTTCTGCGAGAGAAATGAAGAGCTGAAATCACAGTTTCAACATGACTGTTCACCTCAGCATTCTGCCCCAGCTCCCATGAAAAGCCATGGTTTGTGTTGTAACCCCCTGTCCAGGCACCAGCATTGTGAGCTGTCCGACCATGAAGCAGGGATCTCCCATGGGTGCCCTGGATACAGGCTCAGCCTGGATCCAGCTCAGACCATGAAATTCTTTGCTTGTTTTAAGGCACTTTACTGACCTCACAGTGACAGAGAGCAAGATTTTCCATCCTGTAATCTGTGTCCATCTCAGGGCTTTATCTGGAAGGGATAATGCAACTTCTCACTGGCTGAGAGAGGTGTGTTCTGGCAGGCTGTTCCCTGCTGGAGGCTTGCACATAGACACGTGCAAGGTACCTGGGTAGGGCTTCAGGGCCAACATCCCTACCCTCACATGGGACAGCTTCCAGGATGGGACAGCTTTTCTGCAAGAACTGGATGGATTTTGATGCTGAGCTTGTTTCTTGATTTATGTTTGTTGGAGCTGAAGCAGTTTTCGTGTTCCTAAGGAGGCTGCAAAACCAGCTGAGGAGCATCAAGTAACTCAAGAGGCAATATAAAAAATAAGAGAATTTCTGTTTAGTAAATTACATTCTTGATCTGTTTTCAGAGTGTTTTGGAGAAAGCACGGCTTAAGCACCTCTGAAAAACAGCAGAGGTGCTGCCCATTCGAATTCCGTGTAATGATCCATCCTCAGGCTGCCTCAGGCGGCTGCAGATATCATGCATCTCCTCTGGGCTATGGCTTCTGTGGTCGTGGGGTAAGCTCATCACCTTCAGCCCAGGAAACAGTGATCTGCTGTGACTCCAGATGGAAAAAACATGAGAGAAACATGCTTAATGACTGTGGAGACTTTCAATAACCAGAAAATGTGGCCGAATGATTTGGGAAGTAGCTCATCTGTAAGGATGTCTTTCCTGGCCAGTAAAGCTGAGCAGGAGGTTGGACTAGAGACCTCCTGAGGTCTCTTCCAACTTGAATTTTCCTATGATCCCATGTATGCTTTCTAGCCTTGCTACAGCAGCAGCCTGGGCTGTGGCAGCAGCAGCCTGGGCTGTGGCAGGAGATGGGGATTGATGAATAGGGCTATTGATGACTGAGGGATGACTTGACTCTTATATCAGCCATAAAGATTTTGGAAGGGGAGGCTGAGATTCACCCAGCAGGGGTAGAGCAGCAGGGTCTGCAGCATGCCTGGGCTTTTCCACAACTGTGAGGTCACAGACAGTCCAAGTGTAGATAAAATAGTCCTTCTACAGAAGGAACATGCTGTCAACTTGTTCTCACAGATAAAGCAGCTCCTGCTGACCACTACCAGGGTCATGTTACTGAATAAAGCTCAGCTTGTTTAGGGGATGGGGCACTACACAAAACAAAGGTCTTCAGAAGTTGTTTTCTACTCATACACTGTATAGACAATGACCCCTGCTTCTCCCTGGGTCACTCAGCCAAGGGTTTGCCAACAGTTTGGAGCTGTTGCAGCCTGGTGGGCTCTGTACAGCTTGCTCTCTGGTGATTGTCATCCCACCAGCATTCCTCCTTAGTTAAATTGCCTGGTCAGAGCGCCCTGACTTGTGAAGACTGTGAGTAATCCCTTCTGTACCCACACTCTGTGTGTGTGTGTAGGAGGCAATGCCACAACCTCTGCACAATACCTGGGAACATCTCAGACAAAGCAGGCATAAAGAACAGCTCACTAAAATCAAAAAAGGTCATTCAGCTGGTTTTGCTATTTATTTTTGTCACAACTGATGCAGTGTTACTCAGCAGGAGTTCCATAGGAATCCTCTCCTGTATGCATGCTATACATTGCTGGCCTTCTTAGATTCTGCTGTGCAAACAGGGCATGTGTGGGTCATGCTATCTTAGTCCCAGGCTATTTATACTGTGTGACAGTGTACCCTTCTTCTTTGGCCTTTGTCGGACTTGGCTGAGCTCTTCAGCTCTGGCAACTGCTTGGAGTGTATTTGCTCCTAAGCAGCGCAGTTCATGGTAGGCTGTGTTTATTTGGAGGTTTCAGGGATTCACATCTCTGGTGGGAGCAGTAAAAAATTTACTTTTATGTCCCCCTCCCAAGTGGAGATGCTTGGTCCTTGATGGAATCAAGTTGATTGGGAGCCCTTAGGACTGAGAAACCGTGGGAAACAATCTGTTTTGGGGCAATCTGCTACGCTGTTGTCTTTGAATTTAAATGTGTGAACGGGGCAATTTCTCCAAAGGGAGGTCAGTTCTTGTCAAACACTGACCCAAATAAGCCTTGGTACATGATCTGCATGAGCTCCTACATTCCTGAGCCAGTGCAGCAAGCCATGCTGCCTCCCCGTGTTGCTAGCGTCCAGTCAGCCTATGGCCACTGCCTCTAAGGTTCAGGAACTCTGAAACCAATGTGATGCCAAATCCTCCCAGGCGGGATGGGGTTCTTCGGACAGGGGACTGGAGCTCTGAGGTCAGCATTGTCATGTTGGCATTGACCTACATGTTGCTCTTCTCTGTCTGGCAGTGTCCATGTTTACTCTGGCCAGTGGCCAGGACAGTGCAGGTGTCCCCAGGTGACTTTGTGCATTGTCACGCTCTGCTTGGACCAAAGGTGTTGCTTCTTCAAGCCATAATACTGCCTGTATATTCCCCCTTGCCCTCTCTCTTCATCCTTCCATCTCTTCCATCTTGGCCCATTTTTCACCTTCATTTCTGGTTAGCTAATATCAGAGTTGATAGATATTTTTGAAGAACAAACCTCATTTTTCTGCGACTGAGATGCTGTTGGCTGTTTTCTTCCGAGTAATGCACTTTGGGATTGTCTCCTGGTGAATCACAGTAGCAGCAGCTGCTTTTCTGCAGAACATAGGAGAGCTTTCCAGAGCTCCCAGGCAGCCATGTAATCACAAGTGAACACACCCACAGCAACTAATACATATTTAAACAGCTTGGTTTTAAAGTCTTTTTAAAGAAGCACTCAATGAGAGGCAGTTTCCAACCTGTGAGCCACCAGATGTGCCCTGTACCTCTGACTGCCTGGCTCCCTGAAGGGCTCATCAAGCACTTGTATGAACTCAGTCTCTGTCTAAATAAGTCACATGGATACATCTCCATGATCCTCCAGCCTGATTTCCTCTCAAGTGACTTGGCATTAGATGTACTGGGAGGAAGTTAGCTGGTCAGCACCTTTATCACTTGCTGTGTCTGCCACCATTTATATCAGAGCTGGGAAATGCAGTGAGGTGAGGACAGGCATGGGGATGATCTATTTGTTACTGCAACCAACAGAAATTCTTGTTGGAGCTCTTTAGCTGTCCTTACGTGACATTAAGGCAGTAACTGTCTCATAGGATTATTACATTTCCAACTCCAGTGGCTATTTTAAGGTCTTTGAGTGAGCCTGGGTGTTGAGAGAGGATTGGCAGCTTCCCCCACACTCTGGACATGCCGTCACAGCAGCAGACGGGGAGTCACAGTCAGCTGGTGTATGGGGAGGGCTGTGGAGCCCTGGCTTTGAGCACACCCTCTCTTTCCCCAAATCCTGCTGTGCCCCAAGGGACAGCTGGAGGGTGGTCTCACTGCAGAGCAGCGCTGCTGGTTGTGCTGTACCCCAGCACCACACCAGCCTGCCAGGACTCCAAGATTCCTGTGCTTTCACTCCTTACCCTGCTTTTGCAGCAGTGCTTGGCGCAGGTAGGAAATGCACTTCAGAGGCTTAGTCCAGCATGGTGCTGTGGACCTAAATGCCTCAATAATTCCTCACCCACGTAGATGTGCTTTGCAAGCTTCAGCCAGGACATGTTAGTCCCTGGAGGCAGCAGTAGCACCTCTCCTGTCTTCAAGACAGATTGCTGAGAACCTCTAATGTATGAGGACCACTTTTATATATATCCTTGTGAGCGCTGTTTTTATTCCTTAATATTTCCAAGTCAAGCATGGAGAACCAAAATTGCTCCAGAGACTCACTTATGTGAGTGGGGATGCTTACACTGCACATGAGGATGCTTGGTCATAGTCCAAAGATGCCTTACTGCCCAAGCTGAAAGGGGAAAAAAAAGCAGTCCAATATCATCCCCTCAGTCTTCCTGGAGCAGTGCTATCAGTGTTTCTTGCTGTCCCATCTTGCACTGTGGTGTTATTCCTCCCTGGTAAGTTTCTCATGATGTTATGATTCCTTCTCTGAGTGTGTCTTGGTAACACAGAGGAATGTGCGTGTTTTTTTCTGTCATTCTTGGCTCAAACGACATTACTGGAGCTCAAGAGAGGTTTGGTGCCAAGCATGGCAGGACTCTGAAGCTGTGTTTTCTGCTGTTGACCAATGCCCTTCTGTGATGTGTGAAAAATTTCTGTCATGACATGTGTTGTAACCATCTCCAACGTGTTCTCTGTTTCAGGTGGCCTAAGCACAGCCGTGGGTTATCCACTGGACACAGTGAAGGTACCTGTTGGAGCTTTATTTCTTGACCGTAGAACAAAAACAAGTAGGCCCTTTTGCTTTCCCCCTCCTTTCCAGAATACTAGTCCCATGAGAATGCTTTATCTTCATTACATCTACATATTTCATCATATTTGGTTGTGTTGTTTGTCTCCTTCAAAGAAAAATTAAATTGTTTGGTGATGCTCTTTTATGATTAATTTCTGGTTTGCTGCTATGGCATTTGTTGATTTTTTTTTTTTTAAATCTGATATCTGCATTTTAAAGTTGCTCCTGTATTCCTAGGTGAGAATTCAGACTGAGAAGCATTACAAAGGGTTTTGGCACTGTGTTCAAGAAACGTACAGGACAGAAAAAGTAGGTACCTCTCATCAGAATTGCTGATACCCATTGTGGATGACTTGTTTCAGGGAAGCAGAGCTGTTTCTGTCAGTTTGGGGAGGGTGGGCACCATTTGCACACAACCATTTGTTGGAAGAGGATGAAGTTTAGCTTTGCTGATGAGCTGTAAGATGAAAACGATGCTGCCTGGCAAACGTGCATGATCCTGGGACAGGGAGGTGAGGCTGGACCCAGGAGCAGTTTCCCACAAGCCAGCGCTTTCAAGAAAATGCTTTTCCATGCCATTCACTCTTAAAAGTTTTTTCTCCCATTTCCCACTAGATTTGGGGATTTTACAAAGGTGTGTCTGCATCAGTCCTTGCCGTATCAGCAGTTTCTTCTGTTTCCTTTGGCACATACAAGAACTTCCTCTGTACAATCTGCAAGCTGCGATACGGGGCTGCAGATGCAAAGCCATCCAAGCTGGATGTTTCCCTTGCTGGAGCTGTTGCTGGTGCTGTCCGGGTAGGTAAACAGCCGTCAGGGAAAGCACAACAAGAGATCTTGTTCACAAACACAGGAGGCTGGAAAGGCTGGGAATGTTTTTGGTCTGAGAGGCCACAGGGGAACATGCAACAAGTCTGGTGAGTTTGTTTTTGCAGGGGAGGTCATGCTTTGCCCGTGCTGCCCCCTCACTGGTTGGTCCGTGGGATGGCCAAGTCCTGCTGGGCAGCTGATGCTGGATTTGGTTTAGACCATCAAAATACTTGAGAACATGCTCTTAGAATGACATGGACCTTGGCAGCAAACACAGAACAAGGAAGAAAAAATGACTTAGGCAGTAAACTTCCCAAGTGGCTCTGATGGTGTGTTTATGTAAGAAAAGAGAGAACTCTGAGTCGAAGCACAGGTTGGTCCTTTCCCAGTGGCCCCACAAGCCCAGCATGGTATTGCTGCTGAAATGGGCAGTGCACAATGTTGCCTTGCCAGCAGTTAAAACTCAACAGGGCACTACTGAGAACTGATGCTGCCTGGGAACGTGTATGATCCTGGGATGGGGAGGTGAGGCTAAATCCAGGAGCAGTTTCCCACAAGCAGATGGATCTCTGCGAGCATCCAAAGGTGCTGTGAATGTGGTGGAGCTCACCCTATCACCCTGGTGGCATGCTGGGTCACAATCCTCTTGCAGAGCAGATGGTCAGGTTTCCAGGTGTTTCCTAGCAGTCAGTGACTCAACACAGGCTAATTTTTTTGAAGTCTTTAAGGTCTTGGTTCAAATGCATATACGAACAAGAGCCCTGATGTATGCTTCCCTATAGCTGAGGACATACCCTTTTTGTGCCCATCTGGTTTAGCAAGTAGTCACAGGTATTTAATATCTGGTGTTGATTTCTGCCTTGCCTTCCACTTTGCCCAGTGCAGCTCACACATGTGTCCTGCTGCTGCTGGGTGGAATGGCACAGGCAGAGGCTGGAACCTGATAGAGTTTGCAGACAATATTACTGCCTGAAAATTTGGGAGACAAGAAGTTTTCAGGAAGGGGATAATACACTGTTTAAATGAGAAGGGTTAAAACACCACCCTCTGATGTTACAGGTTGTGTTGACAAACCCCAGTGAAGTGGCTAAAGTTCGGATGCAGACTCAGAGAAATCCACACCCTTCTGTCACATCTCAGCCTGTTTCCAAACCAAAGTACCAAGGGTCTCTGCACTGTCTGAAGGTGATCACCAAGGAGGAAGGTTTTGGGGGTCTCTACAAGGGTTGCTCTGCATTACTCTGCAGGGATTGCTCTGCTTCTGCAGTATATTTCCTTTCCTATTCTGCTCTGTGTGACTGGCTCACACCAGCTGGGAAAGATAAACCAGGTAGGTATCGGAAAGCATCTGGCATTACCTGCAAAAATGGCTTATTTAACACCACTCTAAGAGGGAAATGGCTCTTGGCAAACATCACCCAGTACCTATAAAACCTCACCCAGATCTGATCCTCAAGTAGGGTTGCTGTGTTTGTGTTTTCTGGTGCTGCAGGGCTAGTTTTAGGCCCCAAGCGTGGGTGCCAGCAGCCTCCCTGTGAGGGCTTCACTGGCACAATCTTGTCCCTGAGCAGCTACTCCTCCTCCTGCAGGAGGGATTTTTACAGCATGCTCTGGTGCCTCATATGTGGATATGAAATCCTGTTAATGCAGAAACAGGATATGTAACTGGAAACGAAACATGGACAAGCCTCCCAGGAGCCATCACAGAGCACAGATAAGGGTCAGTCCAGGACTTGAAAATAAAGTCCAGTTGCAGAACGTAAAGACATTTCAGGTTCTTAGTTGTGATTTTGCTCCAAAAAGCAACTATCCTCTTTGAGAAAAGATTGAATAGGTAACATTCAGCAAAGAGCATCTCTCCGGGAATTATAAAAATAAGTAGATCTATCTGAGTGCTCTCAGGCTGCACCACATCTAGTTTGCGTGGTGTTCAAAGTGCCATGTGTGCAAAAACGAGTATTTTGTGAGATCACTGGAAACACACAAATGCAAGAGCTGGACAAAATAACTTCTGAAAAAACATGAAAGTTACCCAAGTTCATTGACAAATCTGAGATGCTTGTAGCTAAGTGAGACTCAAGTGAACTGCTCCTCTGTTCACTCTCTCCTGCAGGTTTCCTCGTTGTGCTGCTTTCTGGGGGTTTTGCTGGAGTCCTGGCCTGGGGATTAGCTACTCCCATGGATGTCATCAAATCACGGATGCAAATAGATGAATCGGACCAGCATAAGTACAAAGGCCTGATCCACTGTGTTAGGGAAAGTGTGAGAAAGGAGGGTGCAAAAGTGCTTTTCAAAGGACTGGGTTTAAACTGCATTCGTGCCTTTCCTGTGAACATGGTAGTTTTTGTAACGTATGAAGCTGTACTGAGATTTACAGATCGTTATATAAGCAAAAAATAGCTCGTTCTATTCTTTTCAGAGGTGTATCTTGTTTGTTATTCCTTTTTGTAATACAACATCCACAATCAACTGCTGAATTGATGGACAGCATAAGACATTTCAGCACAAAGCTGATGACTGATGGCTTTGTTTCATTCCAATAGGATTACAAACTCATCAGGGAGCCTTGGATTCATATACAACCTCCCATTTATCTCGTTAAAGTATTTAGACTGTAGCTGCTGCTTTGGCCCTTGAAACATTTGGGAATATTTATGTTCTAACAAGCTGCTTGTCTGATCAGAGGTTTTGGTAAAGTACTTAATTTTGTTTTCTACCAGCCCAGAAAATGATCCTCACGACCAAAGCAAGAGCTGGGGGGAGTTTGTGTAAGATTTAACACTATTCAGCCTGCGCTCTTTACATGTAATGCCTGCACTGCATTCACTGAGTGACTTACATATTTGTGCTTCAGGCTGTAACTTCACTTTCCCAGCTGTAATTTTCCCAGAGTACTCTACAGTTATATCCCCTTGGCAGCAGCTGAAATATGAATGTCCTTGCTTTTCCCTGTTGCTATTTAATGAGTGGCAGGCATGGTCTGTTTACATAACCAGCTAATGGCCTCACTGCAGTGACGCCAGGCACGGTTTCCCGGCAGCCACGTGATTTTCTCCCAGAGCCCTACACAGCATCAGGCCTCTCACAGAGGCCTATGGAACAGCATCTCTCTGAGCTTGGCACAGATTTGGAGGCAATCTGTTCTCATCCTGTAGGGAGGGTGGGAATAGATGCAAAGCCTCTTTGCTTTCTCAAAGGAAAGGCTGCTGTAAAATCTGCGCACTAGCGGGGTTAGGCAAGTTAAAGGAGAGTTGCAAAGCTGTAGAGCATAATTAAGATTTACAGCTTTCAAAAGTGCATACTCTTCTCCCTTTAAATGATGCTGTTAGGAGCAGCCAAATGTTATTTTATCAAAGGTATATTTTGAAAGAATTTATTACTTCTTTCTCATCTTCCTATTACTTCTTTTTCATTACTTTTTCCTACTTTTCATTAACATGCCAATTGAAAAAAACAACACCCATGCTATTGCTTCAGAAGGAAACCCCTAATCCCAGAAATACTTTAGTTTGCTCATCCTGCCTCAGGGGCCACATATATGCTTTCTCTCTCTGTTTTAATCCCTGCACGATGACACTTGGAGTGGACTGGATCCAACCCCTCTCACATTCAGCTAAAAATGCGTTTCTTGGAGGGGACGGGGAGTACTATATTTTAAAAGGAGTACTCATATTCAGGACCCTTCTGGTCCACAGACACTTTCATCAGTTGATGGCATAGCTTTGACTACACTGACAGTAATTTTGCAGCAGACTTGACAGCTGCCCTGGACACACAGAAAACGATCTTGTATTAGAACGACAAATTTAAAGATTTCAGGTGCTACTAGACAAGAATAAAGGGGACCTCTTCCACTCCAGACAGAGACCACTAAAAAGGTCCACAACTGTACTCCTGAAACCTAAGCCTTCAACTGGCCTTTTAAACATGTTTACAGCCTTGCTATCAAACAAGCATCATAATTCTCTCAAGTCTACCCAGCTCTTGCAGTTGGTCCAAGAGCAGAGTTAAAAGACCAGGCAGGTGCACAGTATGTCACCTTAAGGGGGAATGAAATTAAAGACCCAGCACTGAACTGGATTTTCTCCACAGTACTTATGGCCCCAGCAACCTACCACCCCTGGTTACAGCTTTGAGTGTCAGCACCAAACTTCCTTTAGTCAGGAAGTCCTTACAACTGAAGATTTAATTAAGTCCTCAAGCTCTGGAAATCCTCTTAAGATAGCTCTTAAGAGTCTACTACCCTCACGTTTTTATACAAGGGATGGATTTAACTGAGTGCTATCCCAGCTGGACAGTGATTTAACCCAGCTCTGCCTGGATGTTTGTAATCAAACTCCTTTATGCTGCTTTATTCTCAGCTGACCTTGTTCCCAGGCATTACATCCCCTGAGCAGAGCCAGTAAAAGAATGCCTGCAAAACAGACTAAACAACCACTTATTGTTAGGCAGCACTGATACCACCCATGGCCAGCCCAAGGTTTGAATATTAACTAGCTCATCTTTCTCGATAGGCTCACGCATTCAAATGACTAAAAATGCTTCCTCCTGTGAGTGGAACTGAACAGCTGATTTTGAGACAGGAATTACAGATGAGTTGTAAATATGAGTGGGAATAATTGCAGAAGCCAGTAAGAGGGGCTGAGAACTGTAAGCCTTGGGGCATTCAGCACCATATGTAAGCCATGTGGCCTGAACAAATGCTACATGAGAAGCAAATTGCATCTCCAGGCAGCCTATTTCAGGAAGGTAAGGCCTTTGCAATCCATCCTGTTCACAACCCTTTACTGGGAAAAATACGTGTACAATGTATGGGTGAAAACCTGCCCTAGAGTAAGAACTCACTCGCAGCTAATTCACGCTGATACACACACCACTAGCTACAGGAACTGACTGCAAGTGCTGTAAACACAGGCACATAAATATCAACCAATTTGTGTTTTCTGACATGACACATATTAGGTACTTCACCACACACACACACACACACACCAAGCTGGGTTTCTGGCTTCTGGTTTTCAGCACTTGACTGCTTTATTTTCTGATTTCTCTGTATTATCGTCACCTTTAGCTACTCTAACAATCACAGAACTATTTACTCTGATAAATTAGCCAGCTGAAGGCCAGCTAACAGAAAGAAGACACCACATTTGCTGTGCCGATATTGAGTTTACTTTGCAATAGGGACTGCAGCTTTTTGTATAGATGATTTCTTTCAGTAACCAAGTTGGTGGCCTTGAAAAAAAGAGAATTTTCTTAGAAGGCACATTCTGCTTCAAGTTTCACGTTGCTGACGGTTCCTGTTTCCTCTGACAATGTTTATGACCATCCAAGTAGGTTTCAGCATGCTTTTTGGGTGACTTTAGAAGAGCTGCAGGAACCTATTTAGAATCTGTGCTCTTGCATAGCAATTATGGAGCACCATGTTTCCACTGAAGTACCAGTTTTATACCAAACCTACCTGTAAAGAGATCATATTGACCTTCCCCCATTTCAGAGCTGGCTGCTATACACAGGGACATTCAACATCCAGTCTGACTGGCAAACAGGTAATTTTGGACAACTGACCCTTACTGGCTCACTCTGGGAGCAATCTGAAGTCTACCTGGAAGGGGGTTATAAGGCACCTTGTTTCAGTACTTGAAAGGCACTGGACATCAAAACAAGGACCAGCTACATCAGATGATTAAAGTCAACACCTAAAAGGGTAGGAAGTGAGGTCAAAACCAGTTTCAATTAAGGTTTTAAAAGATAATAATAAAAAAGTAAAACCAAAGAAGTTTGATACAGACTTTTATCTACATTTTTATTACAGTGAGATGAACAAAATAAGCAAATTGAGTAAAATGTAATGAACATTGCCTGATAACATTCTTAGACATTTCACATGTGCTTTTGACAACTGCCTTCTTCTAAATGCCTCTGGGACATGAATTGTAATTACAACAGATGTAGGAATTCACCAAGGCTCTTCTGAGAAACAGTGTCATTTCAGAAGCATGAATTCATCAGAGTACTTGAAAACAGTGCTTGTTCTGTAAACAAATACTAAATAGTTTTGCTATCACTTTCCTTTCTAGAACTTTTGAAACAGATTTTAATTGTTGTTATAAAATTAATCCATCTGCTTAGACTAGAGTACTGTTTCTCCTACAGCATATTTTCCTTTCCTGAATAACTAAACTAATTCTTAGTTAATGAAATAAATCTTGCAGGACAAATCTGCATATAATATTTTAAACAAGAAATTTGCATTATGAGTTCATAAAAGCCCTTTTAAATTCAATTTAAGTCTTATCGTTTATGTATGGCTTAAAGACAACAAAGAATAGACTGCAAGAATAGGAAGGTCATCATCAAAGTCTAAAGTAAAGAGTTAGTTTATTTAATACTGGATTTAAGAAGCTATTTTTTTCCCTAAGAATTGCTCCACTACTTTTAAAAAATATTTTTTTTTCTACTGGTTGTTAAGCCCTTGCTGGCATTGAGATGATTTGCGTGTGAGTTATAAAGACAGTCTCTGTGAACCATTTTCATTAATACATTAAAGTCAATGGCATTAGTGATGCCAGCTCACACAAACTGTAAAGAAAAAGACAAAAGCTAAGCCTTGCTATTTTCAGCACAAGTTTGAAACTCATGCAATAGGACTACATTTGCCTTCCACTTCTGTCTTTCCTTGGTTCCTTGTACAAACATAAGTGAACAGGTTTAGTTCATGTACACCTTGGCACTTCCATCTCAGCAAGGCAGGGTCACGCTGCAGAGGGTGTGTGCTGTGTGACAGAACCAGCTCCGGGCAGCACAAACACCCAGCACGTTCTCAGGTACTAACAGCCTGATCCAAGGGCTACTGAGGTCAGTGAAGTCAATGACAAGTCTCATCCTTGAAGTCTCCCTCAATTCAAGTGTAATCAGCTGCCTTCAAAGATCTGCAGTGAAATTAGAAGCTGCTTGTTTTTAGTTTTATTTTTTTTTTAGGAATACTACAGTCAACTTATGTTCACTATACTCCACCACAGAGAACCTTTTAAGTTGAAATCTTTGACACCTCATTCAAGTGCCTTCCTTGTATTTTTAAATGATTTACAAATACCGCACACCAATACCCACGTGTTATCTGCATTAAATAAAAATACCCTTGATTAGACTATTTCTGGGCTAGGAACTTTCTGTTCTATATAAATATAAGACAGATCTAACATTGCATTCAGCACCAAATATATCAAAACAAGCTAATAATTGGACATTTTCTTCCATAAGTAGTACCAAAGAGATTTAAGTTCTTTTGAAGAAAGGATATAATTAAATATTACTTGAGGTATTTTAACAAAGTATATTTTCTCACTGCAATACATCCTAAAATAATTATCCCTCGTTTAAACAAGCAGGTGCAGAAAAAGAGAACAGACAGTACAAGAAGTATCCCTGTGTCCAGTGTCACTTAATTTTCAAAGCATGATTTAACACTTGGTATTTATAACTAGACACTAAAATTTGCATTTCTATACTATCTTCCACCTGAGAATATGAAGGAACTTTGCAAACTCATGATAACCTCCTCTCTCCAGAAGCACTCAGATCAGTAAACAGCAGCAGAAACAAAAGTAAAGTGAGATTTCTGCAACTTGCCCAAGATCAAACAGGAAGATAACAGCAGAACAAGACTGATATTCTTTTTCCTGTGTTCAACTCACAGATGTCCATTCTTTCTGTATTGATCCCACTTCGTAACACTAACTAGCCTTTTGTGTGCAGCATGTTCCCAGTAGCCCAAAAGAACATGCAGTCTAGTAAACCAAGATACACAGTACAAAAGAAAATGGAGCTACTACTTATTGGTTTGAGATATGACCTCTTACTAACATATTTAAAACAATTTCCAAGTTAGCCTTTATCATCAAATGAAAATTTTATTTATATTTTCAACATGAAATACATTTAAATACAACGCTGTGCTGACATACATGCTTTTCTGCAAGACTGATCAATTGTCTTGTATATTCTGATTTTAAATAGGTACAATTTTAAACCTTTTCTGTACTTTGCTGTTCATGATAATTAACTCATTGAAAGCACTATTTATAACACTGATTACAAGCTGTACATAACTAGAGGGTCATGACATACAACAGAAGACAACAATTACTTGGTTTTGCATTATCAAGTGCTAAATTACATACACACTTCTTCAAAATTCAAAGGCTAGCTTCCGTGGAGTCATGAATTGCTTCACAACTTCATCTGTGACCTGCTTCCTTCTTTCTTGATGAGCTGCTATCAAGGGCTGCATTGTTTCAATAAGTACCTTCTTCAGCTCCCCTGTGAGCAATTCCCCACTGGTGTAGGCCTGTCAAGAAAGTGTTGGTGGCTAAATGTGGTGCTATTCACAAAAAGACTCAGTGACCAGTATTTCTTTAAAAGCCTCATACCAGCAAATACAGATTTGGGTGTCTTAAAAATAAACACATGCCTTAGAAGATTATGTGGTATCACTCTGAAGATGCAACTTGTAAAATTGCTTGTTGCCTTTGAAAAGATTAAGGCAGCTGGGCATTTTCGTAAGTTATTATACGGACTGAATAAGCTTCTTTCACAAGTTTAACTCGGAAATCCTGTAATTACTTGCAGGAAACTGCTTATTTTCCTCCCCAGAATCCCAGTTCAAATAAACATTCACTCTGAGCTGTTTTTTGCAATGAGAGGTACAAATTCTTATATTTTTTGTCTCATTACATTTGGGTAAGAGATTAGATGTGATTGAAATGTCCTTTTTACAGCAAAGACACTCAGAATCTATGTTCACACCAACAGTCATATTCACAGCTGGGAATTCATTCCATTGCTGATACTGAAATGCTTTAGCTAGAAGCACAGACTAAGAGCTAGAAACCACGGCTGAGGCAGTTCAACTACAATTTGAAATGACAATAAACATGATAATCTTACATCCCTATGTCATCAAATAATTTGTAACACCTATTCAAGGTGCTACTCAGCAACAGTAAAATATGTTAACCAGAATTAACTGACTTGCAATTTCACTGGTGTGTTTTTGGGCCTGAAAGCTTCCTCTGGTGCCTTAACTGAAACTGCTCCACTAATGCCACTAAAATCAGCGAGTTCATGTTTTCTAATCAGGTTTGAGGCACCACTGCAGTGAGCTGCAAGCTGTGGGCCAGGCTTTGTGCTCTGCAGCTCTCAACTTTGTTGCAGCTGTTCCTAGCAGGAGAAAGCTGATAAACCACTGTGACATGGGTGTTATCTACTGCCTTCCAGAGAACACACATCACCTAGTATTGGTGAAGTGAAATGTCTTGCTATCAACCATGGGGACAGAAGTCTGCCAGACAGGTTTAAGGAAAATGCAACTCATATGAAGCAGTTTTTTCTTGGGATCAATGAATCAATTCCTCAGAGCTATTACATTTCCTATGATGATAAGAAAAAATAATAAACCAGCAAGCCTTAGACATGAGCTTTTCTAGTTTTGCCGAGTGCCTTGCAATACGGAACAGGCAGAGTGTATTATACAATTAAGTGAAGACTTATCCTAAGGTGGCCTAACTTGAAAGGTAGGGAAGATATTGTCCTATACAGTGTTGGAGATGCTTATGAAAATACTAGTGGTTTTTTTTTTTTTAAGAAGAGATAGATTGACCTGTGAGAAAGAACACTGCAAACAACAAATACTAATATTGACGCTTGCGAGGGATAGAGAGAACAAGAATAACACCAGAATTACCTTCCTGGAGAAGGTTCACAGGAGGACTCAGTCACAGTTTTGTTGAGGGCTGAGGTTACAGCTTTGTTCTCATAGTAGGGAATGAACAGCACTATCTTCAATTTGGCTACTTACCTGCTTCAGTTGTTCGAGCCTGTCATCATCTTCCAGGAAGAATGTCAGGTACATAAAAGACACATCAACGTCACAGTTCCCTCCGTACTTC